GCTTAGGTGCCGCTTTCTTCTTGGGTGCCTTGGCCGGAGCGGCGGCGGGAGCCGGAGCAACTTCTGCCATTTTCCTATTAACTCTTCACTTTCGGATGTGCCACACAGTCAGCGAATCTGGTCTGTTCGTACTGCCGCGTCACGGTGGGTCCTCCTTAAACTCGCCATGAGAACCATGTAGACTCAACCTACACTGCCCTGTCTGTGCAGAACGCGCGACACCGCTTTCACTTGTGTTTTCTCCTCACGCAAAACTTCGTTAAAATCAGCCGATGAGCTGTATTAGTGTTTACTAACAAATGTGGGCTTAATATAAGATCCGTCTGTTTGAAGGTAAGCCGTGTTTTTCCAGAGATCCCACTAGATATTATTTGAATTCCTCAAAAACTTTGCTTCCACCCGGAAGATCGGCTAACGTTCACGGCTTTTGCCTTGATTTTAGGGGAAATAACACATTAAAATATTACAGCTAAAAACCGCATACGGGGTAGCAGTTTACAGCAAGACCCTTTGCATTTAAACAAGGTGGTAGTGTTCCCGTAATCTCGAATCCTGATTTTTTAATCGGATCAACCTTGAGTACATTAAAGCACATTTTATACTTCACGTAAAAGCATCCGTGCGAGAATAGATTCTGACTCCTTTATAGATTAGCCTGTTAATGAAACATATTTTTAAAAGGACAAAAAACATACAAAAGTGAAGTCTTTGTTACTGTGTTAAAATAATTATTAAAGAAAAAAACGAGGTATATATTGCTTGTCTATTAGCAGTATTCCGCTCGGTTATTCACATTGTCTGGAGTCACAGGGTTATGTGATATGAATGTTTAACTCTCATTTGGACTACAATCACAGTAATACTAATTATTTAGCGGCAAATTTTACCTTGAAGCCATTTCGCGTCACCTGGATATTCTTGGTATTTTATTGATTTCCAGACGTAAATAGGCTAGCATAGGTCTCCTTTTCACTTGTATTATGCCTTTTTCATTTTTCTTCGGGCTTCAGTTTTTCTATTCGTTGAAATAGTCATATTTAAGTAAGACGCCAGTGCAGCGGCCTCCCTCCAAGATTCTCACATCTTCCATATCCACTCCCGAGTCATATTCTTCACACACGATTCCTTCCCTCACGTCAGGAAAGTCATCTCAGCGTTGCTTTGATTTCCATCATAATCCAGGATTATTTTGAAAAAACTACATTTCTGGACAATGCATGCTATGCATGTACTTATGTTGAATTTGGTATAATCAGTGATGTGGCGAGAGAGCCCATTGTTGTTCTCAACACATATTAAAAATACCACCATTCCTCTACCTTCACAAAGTCCTGCAGGAACCCTGTTGTACCTCGCGAGGCGCTTCTGCTACACTCACTGTCACTCCCCGCAGTCCCCATATGTCTTAGAGTCAAACTGAGGCATCTGCCCTCAGTGCCATGGGCTGCTGTGTAAAACACGGTGCTTGAATATGTAAACCAGCAACGACATGAGAGATGAACAATATGAAAAACACAAAGGTAAAGAACGAAAAAATAAGCTATAAAAACATTCTAAAAAATGTCCATCAGCACCTCTGTTTCCTCAGCAGACTGAGGCTTGGACGTCCACTGCAGCCCTGCTGTGGAGTCTATCCTCACAGGGGCGTCGCATCCTGCTGTGGCAGCTGCTCTGTGCAGCATCGCAAAGCCATGCAGTGGCCGGTCAAAACTGCAGAGGATCACGGGCACACTGCGACCGGAGACGCATAACATGGAACGTCAGCAGCATCAGTCAAAGTCTCCTTCCCACTGCCGTGACACTTCTGACCTGCCAGTGCCACTGCACTTTTCACTGCTTGCCCTAACCCCATTACACCCCGAACCCCTAGTATTTTCTGCCTTTACACCATTGTCTGGTGTTTTTGTAAATAGGTAAAATATATACCATTTATTCTTCTAGATACATCCATATCTCCATGTAGTCATATTTATTCTACCCAATTGTTGGCCCATGTCTTGTAACGCTTGTCCTGTATAAAAAGCATTTCTCAGTACTCCTACAAATGTTTGGAAACCTTTAATCATCTCAAACATGGATCTGCAACAAAATATGTAATCTGAGGAATAACAGATATTTCGAAGTATGCATTTTATTCAGGCTTTATCATTGTAGACATCTTTTCACATGAATGAATAAAGGCTACCAAATCTACATTATGTGCGCACATTTCTCTCGAAGTGTTTGTTTCTACAAGTCCTATTGTACGTCCTAAGTCTGCGCGAGACTTGAAATTTATATTACGCTCCCTCCCCACATAGGAAAAAGATTCGTTAACCTCAACAACCAGCTTTTGCTCCTTTCTGATTTTGTGGGTGGCTCTTAAAAGAGCCTTTGGTTTCCTTTTGCAAAGCGGCAGAGGCTTTACTTGGAGCTGGTGTACTTGGTGACCGCCTTGGTTCCCTCAGACACGGCGTGCTTGGCCAGCTCGCCAGGGAGCAGAAGGCGCACGGCTGTCTGGATCTCCCTGGAAGTGATGGTGGAGCGCTTGTTGTAGTGAGCCAGGCGGGACGCCTCACCAGCGATACGCTCGAAGATATCATTGACGAAAGAATTCATGATACCCATGGCCTTGGAAGAAATACCCGTGTCCGGATGAACCTGCTTCAGGACCTTGTACACGTAAATGGCGTAGCTCTCCTTCCTGGACCTCTTGCGCTTCTTTCCCCCCTTTCCGGCAGTCTTCGTCACTGCCTTCTTCGAACCCTTTTTGGGTGCAGACTTCGCTGGCTCAGGCATGTTTCCTACTCGCTGTCAAACACAAGCAATGGGAAGCAAGATAACTCGACCTCCTTATATAATGGTTGTATCCAAATTAGACAGGAAACCTCGGAAAGCATTTCATTGGACAGCTAAAGACCGCCAGATGACATTCAAATTCTATTGGCTCAGTTCTTCTACTCTCACGAAGTCCTTTTTCTTACACACAGCCATTTCTCACTCAGGAATTCAAAAAGTAAAATAGTGTTTTTTTTTAATGCTACCATTTTAAGGTAGGCTGACTTTCGAGCACGGCTAACCACCACCATAGAGATAAAAAATCAGATGTGTTTCTCCCAAATTGTTGACCTCATTAAACATATTTCGGTCCCTCCGGGATTTCGCGTTTCTGTCTCAGCAGAAATCAACTTCTCTGCAGGTAACAGACACAACGAACACGTCTCGTTTACCAAAAAACTGAAGCATACGCTGTTTAGTAGAAGCATTTCAGCACAGTCTACGACACTATATTGTTCTGTCAGTGTAGCTGTTCGAACGATTCACGGCCACACTTCCATGGATGTTAATCAGCCTAATAGAACAGTAACCTGCACAGAATGCATACACGGCACTATATTTGCAGGTGATGCGTTATTCTCATATGCTCACTGAAAATTTCTCACCTTCTGTCCTGTAATCGCAGTAATTGATGCTTGATATTGCCAGTGTTTGCCCCTTAAAACCAGTCTATACGTGGCTCTGCGCGTTATGGTTGGGCTCAGGCTTCACATCCGAAATCATAGTAGCGTAATTTCTGAATTAGAAATGTGTATCCAGAATTATTTTAGTTGAGTGTCGGCTATAAATAAACTAAATTTCACAAGTAGGAGTCATTTCATTGAAAGCTTTCCTATTAGGGACCCTGGATTCAAACATGATTTTCGACTGGATGTTTTACGTGCGGTTACGTAAACGCATCATTTAGTAAATATTAATTAAATGTTAATTAAAACGTTAATTTTTACCAAAAAAAGATAAACACGTAACCAATGAAAACAGGAAAACTTCACCGAATCATTTAGAAAGTCATCCAAAAAGTCACAATTTTTTTATCTTTTGTTTTTTACTGGAGCAGCATCAACCTTCATCAGGGACATGGCAATAGAACAAAGCTGTCGAAGGGAACCACAACTGCAAAAATGCAAGAAATACATTTCGCAACTCAGTCTCAAAAAACACGTCTGTATCTGCATAGAATAATAAAACAATGGCGAAAACCACACAAGGGGAGATACAATTTTAATCTTAGTTACCTGATTGGGCTAGAAAGTGTTTTAAGATATTGCACAATTTTTTGTGTTTTAACTCCTTTTGCGGTTCTCTTTTATTCGGTCGGAAGTACCGTCTCCATTTCAGGGGAACTGACGTACATGTTTCTTTTTTTACAAGGGCTGTGAGTTCTGGTGTCCTACCCTGAGCCTTAGCCTAGGCGTTTTGTTATGACTTATCGGTGATCTGTGCGTGTACCTATGTTTCACGTAATTAGTGAATTCTTCATTTATGTATTTCATTATTTGATTTCTGTGCGTTTTGATTCACTTTTTGAATAAGACTTTCAGTAGAAACCCATTTGCAAAGTGGATTCGCAAACGCATAAGCAGTTCGCCAACTTTGTTGAAGTTCAACATCTACCTATTCTTCGGAGGGTCCTGTACATTCACAGGTAAACGGATTCACCCGAAAGTCAATTACAAAGTTCCCCCCATAATGTTTTGACGAGTTTTTTTTTCTCACGTCACACTTTGAGCAGAATAATAGCACTGTGAAGTTTCGTTAAACCTTTGTGTTGTCTATGGATTTCCTAATGAGTATTAAATGCTTTGTCTTACTAAGGCAAATGGCGTTTCGATAAGTGTAGCCTTACAGAGACGGTTTATGTGCGTATTGTTGGCTGTTGTATCTTTTTTGTATGCAGTATCATTTGTATTCTGTATGCTGTATCATTTACCATTTACCATTTGCTGTATCTGCCTCGCTTGTACGTCACTTTGGACAAAAGCCTCTGCCAAATACATCTAAATATATTTTAATTGCATTTCATTCTCCTTCTCTCATTGTAGTATTTTGTACGTTGTAATGCTCCTCAGCATTATTCTCTTATGGTGGTATAAGATGGGAGGCCTACATGACATCAGAGGCATTAAAAATTCAATTCTTCCTCAGGTTGTGTTGAAAGAATGGATGTGAGGCTTCCTCCTCATAATGGCCGCCTTGTGTCAGTGATCGATATGCACACTGGTGGAGAACCATTGCGCATCGTATGGAGCGGATACCCTGAGATTAAGGGCGAGAATCTCCTGGCCAAAAGGCGCTATGCAAAGGAAGAGCTGGACCACTTAAGGAAGGTGCTTATGTTCGAACCCAGGGGACACTTTGACATGTACGGTGCCCTGATAGTCGAGAGTGAGATGAGCGAAGCCGACCTGGGCGTCCTCTTCATGCACAATGAGGGGTACAGCACCATGTGCGGTCACGCCGTCATCGCGCTCGGCCGATTCGCCGTGGATTACGGTTTGGTGAAAGCGCCGGTATCACCAGAGACGCAGGTGAACATTCACTGCCCGTGCGGCCTGGTCAAGGCGTTTGTCCAGTTTTCTGATGGGAAGACAGGAGCTGTGAGGTTTCACAGCACACCGGCATTTGCCTTCGTGACGGGTAATGCTGTTTTTTAAATATATAATTCCTGATGCTATATAATAATAATAATTATTATTATAGAATATGTTTGACTGTTATGTCCTGTTGGATTTTAAATCCCACAGACATTACGGTTTCTGTCCCTGGATATGGAGATGTAATCCTGGATATCAGTTATGGTGGCGCATTTTACGCATTGGTAAGCGCTCAGAGATTTGGGCTTGATGTCTGTGAGTCCCGGACGAGGGATCTTGTGGAGGTGGCCTGTGCTGTAACAAGTGCTGTAAAATCTCAGGTGAGTTAAACCATACTTTACTTTCTTTTGTTAAACCCACAAACTAAATAGGTGATGAGGATTTTTTTGTGTGCGCGTGAAACCATAGGTGAAGCTTTACCATCCCAGCAGTGATGACCTGGCGTTCCTCTATGGAACCATACTGACCGACGGCAAAGATCAGTTTTCCAACGAGCCCACAGCCAATATCTGTGTGTTTGCTGATGCTCAGGTGGGAAATGCATAAATAAATTCTGAGCCACCTTTCTCCTATTTCTCCTTTCCCTGTCTGTCTCTCGCACAACCACACCCTGCCCCACCCCAAGTCCTGCACGCAGTGACAACATGGAGACAGACACAAACACAAGGCAAGCTAGTGAAGAGGTGTTGGTTGATAAAATAATATATGCTGGTAGTTTATATTTGAGCCATTTTTTTCATGCACATGTACAGCTGTCTGTTAATAAAAGTGTCTGAGTGACATTGGGGACATTTGTCTCTGACTTGGAACTGTCTCTGTATTACTTTATGGGGGGAAAACATTGACGTATATATCACCGTTCAGCTAAAATATCGAGATATGATATTGATATCGCCCAGCCCTATCATATACCATCACTTTGGTAACAAGGCACAAATGTAATTCACTCAGGGGTTTTTTTGTTTTCATTTCCATGCTTATATGGTTTCAGAAGCTTTGTCAGGCATAACGAGGGATTACAGGTGAGAAGTTATGTTGGCTAAATCTCTCACTTAAGAAAGTAAAGGATGGACTATCGGTTCAGAAGCTTGTCTAACTTTGTCTTCTGGGGTGTCCCTCCATCTGTGACCCTGGCTGGTGGGCAGGTGGACCGGAGTCCCACGGGCTCAGGCGTGACGGCTCGCATCGCCCTCCAGCACCACAAGGGGATGATTGGAATCCAGCAGACTCGCACCTTCCAAAGTGGAGCCACCAGCTCTCTCTTCACTGGGAAGGCTGTGCAGGTGAGAGCCGGTGCTTTGCTCTGTGTGACAGGAGCCCATAAGGATGCTGGTATGTTCTACGGCTTTCTCCAGCTGCTCTCATTCCCTCCCTCAGGAAACCCAGTGCGGGGAGTTCCCTGCTGTCGTGGTGGAGGTTGCTGGGCAGGCGCATTACACAGGGATTGCGAGTTTTGTGCAGGAACCTGGTGACAGTCTTGCAAATGGTTTCCTCCTGAAATGAGGAAGAAGTTCCAAGTGAATGTCAGATTTTAGATATTAATGGCTGAGAAATGGAGGCTTTTTGTACTGGATATCATAACAAGTGGACGGAACTGACCGGTTCTGAGGTCGTCTAAACTGCTGTATGTCCGAGAGCGAGTAGCAACCCAAGAGAAATTCCCTCTATCTATAACATACTTGGAAAATTTTCCTGACTTTGATCCTGATTTCCATGGAACGCCATATTACCTAAAGTTTGTTTAATAAGCTATAATTAAATGAATGAATATTCCAATAATCGTGTCCTTTTATTTGTAAATACATATATTATTGTATATAATTACATAAATAATTTTAACTGTATTTCACAATATAGTTCAGCTTTTGTATCTCCTAATGACGGTTTTCCGAACCAGCTTTGTATTTCATAATGCCCACTTCCATAATAATGGTGCTCTCTGTCAATCATTTTGAGAGCTTGTGGTTGGATCATGTGATCTGCGCATGTCTAGTGACTAACCTTAATTCTATTCTTCTCATATGACAACTTCAAATTTATTTGAATTAGTATTTTTTGGAAATGCATACACAAGGTAAAGCATAAAAGAATGTATTAAGTGCTGATACAGCAGTTTGAAACTTAAGGAGAATAAACTTGGAAAAGCAGGAGGGGAGGGGTTATATTTCCTAACTTATCTTTGTGTGAATCAGATTTCTCATTCTTCCAGACACTCCAGAATCTGTGAGGTCAAACTTTGATGGTGACAGAAAACAGCTCATATGTGCAATACATAATTACATATAAAATTACGGGGTTCTCTTTTCACATATTAACAACAGCTACAGACTAGAAGTGTGTGTGTAAAAACATACGGGGGTAAAACTGGAATGAACTGATGAAATAATTATTTTATAGTCTCTATTTTGTGCACAGAACAATGCAAACAAGAGCTCCTCTGATTTGGCCAGATGAGTGGTGCTGGATCTTTCTCCCTCGTCTCCCCCATGAACACGCACTTTCCAGCAGTAACTGGTCTTGGCGTCGAATGTTGCTAATAATTTTAGTTCGTACCTCCCCAGCTTGCAAGGCATGTATTGCATAAAAGGAGCAGCACCCTGCAAGAACACTTAAACGTAGTGGTAACATTAACATTATTTAAAATACATTCTTCTGTAACTACAAACTTGTAATAATGTAGATCAGCGAAAAAAATGTATGTGTATAATTACCTGTAAATGGAATCTGTTGCATGTCTATGGTGACCGGGATTGTCCATGCAGAGCAGGTTTCTCAACCACACGTCCCAGATTCTCATATACCCCTTTGCTTTATGAAAACTCAGACTTCTTTTGCTTTAACTGCTTTGTCCTTTGGCACGTATGTGAAGGTGAGATTACAATAGATCTCAAAAACATCACAGCAGTCAAGGGACACTCATAATTGAGCAAAAACTAACCTCTCACACCGCATACCTGTAAAAGGTAAACACAGAAATCCAAGTTTTACTCCTTTTGGACTTTGTGAGTGGCTCTTAAAAGAGCCTTTGGTTTCCTTTTGCAAAGCGACAGAAGCTTTACTTGGAGCTGGTGTACTTGGTGACTGCCTTGGTTCCCTCAGACACGGCGTGCTTGGCCAGCTCGCCAGG